GTAAAATTCTTTAATTATAACTTTGTAAAACGATGCAACATAGCAACTTGTTATGAGAATTTTCCCAGGATTGTGTTTATACTTTCCTCCCAGACTGGGAAAAGTGAGGTTTTCTGTATGCTTGCTCACGGATCTTGCCGCACACCGAAAACTGATCACCAATCACCACTGCTTACTTTATATTTAACCGTCTGTTTTTGCCATCTCTTACAGTTCGGTGACTCCCAGAAGATGCGTTTGGTTCGTATCCTTCGCAGCACTGTCATGGTAGTACGAGTCGGAGGAGGCTGAAACACTGGAAGAATTCTTCTAAAAGAACGAACCCAGCAAAGGTAAATGAAAGTACTTAGAGGCAAAGAAACTATAACCTACCAAACTAAACAAGTTAAGAGCCGACCACAGACTTTTTAACCCCCTTTACACCCTAACATCAGTTTCGTATTCTTCATACTTTCTACAATTTCTATGGTACTGGCAGGACAATCTGTTTTTGAACAAGTAAGGAGATGTTGCATGTTGATCTCATTGTGTCATATTTTTCCTTTAGCTACTGGACGAACAAATGTAGAACTTAGAGAACAAGTTGTCAAGACCTGAAGGCGTCACACAGACCATGGGAGCCTCAAAGCAAACGACACTCGAACAGAAATCGACAGTGGTCACGGAAAACCGCCCACTGGTCCAGTCGAAAACCTAGGCTCGACGTTCCGAGAAGTGGTTACATGGCCTCCATCGAGAAAATCCGGTGAACTTCGGCCTCGTCGTGAAAAGTCGAGAACTTCGGCTACCAAGTGGTCCCACCAAACAGAGAAGCGGAACAAATTTAAAGGGACGGCTGAAAAAGGTCCCCCTCCACGAAGAGACCTAGTGGCGTATCAAGGGTTGGGAAATCTGACAGTCAGACGTCACTTGGTAGTACGGGGATCGCTCGAGGACTCTTCGAGGGCACTTCACCGGGTATCTTCGGGAATTCCCTCAAGCCCAACAGCACCTCGTCTCGCGGGTCTCCGGATCGTCCAGGTTCGGCCGCGTCTAAATCAACTACTAAGTCGACTGGAATGGCAAGAACCGGAAGTCGGGAAAATGTGCGAGGTAGCAGGGAGAGTCTTCACAAAAAGCCAAAGAAGGAACGACGAAAAGTTCTGGGATGACTAAAAGTACAACGAGAAGCCCTGGAACAACAAAGTTAAAGAACGGAGAAGAAAAGAAAGGTCCGAAAAAGTAAAGGAAAAACTGTTTTTCAAATCATTTTGTTTTTGGATTGAAACGAAGCGAATTTGAATAGGCAGAGCAATTAATAGGTAGTCTTAAATTAATTTTTTTTGTCTTCATCAAGCAAGGAAAGTATTTAATTTAATGCTCTTAAAGAGAAAATTTAATTATGTGGTATGATATTGTTTCATTTAACTTCGTTTATATGAAAAGCTAACAACGACCACAAACACGCAGTCGTTCTATTTCGTAAACTTAATTTTTCGTAATTTTACTAAGATAAGAAAAACCGTCATTTTTGTATTGGGCGCTTTTATAATACACTTCCATTTTCTCGAAGGCAATTAAAGCTTTTCACTGAGAGCAAACTAAGTTAAACCTTTTTGGGACAATAATATTTCTTGAAAAAGTGTAGAGTTTGTATGTGAATCTTCAAGAAACTATTTAAGTAGAGATTAATATTGTCAATTTGCACGTTTGCCATGACCCATTTCAATGTGAAACCATTTGTTACAGAGAGTACAGCTTCCAGACTCTCTCGATACAGTGGATTCTATGTTTTTGTGAATGTTAAGTAAAACTTTAAACATTTTGTAGGAATTGAATAAACAAAGGTAATTTTCTATGACGTGCGAATTTGTTTGTTGTTTAGATCAGTCCTGAAATCAATGAATTGAGTCCCATGAATTGACGCTAGCAACTTTGTGATGCACTTGTCAAGAAGACCTTGTTCACTGTAAAAGCTGTCAACATGAGAAAGAATGAACTTAACCACTGTGGTCCATTTTATCGAAGAGGCCCTTCCCTCGCAGATCAGTAGCTTGGGCAAGCGACCGAGAGAGAGAGACAGAGGCAGGATTCAAAATAGTTCAACTTTTAGCTTAAAATCCTAGTGTGAAAATTATAAGCTTGAGAGGATTTTTAAGGATTCAGGTTGGATCTGTTTCCTTGGCTACCCGATGAAAATCAAGAGAGTACTTTTCTTCTATTTGTTAACCCTTTAACCCCTAAGAATGACTAGTATCTAATTTCTCCCTGCAATATCATCAACTGAAAAACCTCTTGATTGTTAAACAAATTCTCCTCGTCAGCACCTTAGGAAATATGTAGAGAACAGCATGAAGAATATACAAAGTGGTGTTGAAGGTTAGAAGTCGGCGAACCAGTAGTGAATAAGGCTATTTGGGATAGCGAAGCGCGCACAAATACCAGTCATTGTGGCTTACGTTAATTATTTTAAGGCTTCAACTCTTTAAGTTACATCCCCCTGAGTTGTTAAGTTGGCTGAATTTAACAACAATCCAAAGATAAACCAAGATTTCTGTTGTCATCATCACCATCATTGCGATTTGATCTCACCGCACCAGTGGGCGTATAAGGTCATCATCACTAGATTTTGTGTCACCACCCTCGCCGCACCCTTCTTCTTTCACCTGACTTGATTTCTTCCCCTGTACGCTGACCTTCTCCAAGCGGTCATCAGCCCCCCTCTGCTGTCTTCATGCACTCTCCTTTGTGTTTCCTTTACCAGATTCATCTTCTAAATACCTCGCGGCAAACATTTTCACTACTTTAACGTCAACCACTCCCGCTGTTACAGAAACTAAAAGCGTTAAAATCAATAGCATATATTCTATACACGGATTATATTAACAGGAAAGTTAATCACTGGAGCATAAAAGCCCCTAACCTCTAACTCACTCGTGGTTCAGCTGATAATAATGCCTAATTAATATTTGGGAGGCACTGACTGAAGTCTCAGCAGATACCGTGACTGTCAACAGAGAAACAAGCGAAAAAGAAGAAACAAAACAGTTTTCATTTAACTACCGACAACAATTGATTTTAAATCGGCTTACCTGTGAGGATCTCACCTTCCATCCCCCCCCCCCCCCCCCCACGCCTCGTTAGCAGTTAATTGGCAATCAATTTACTACGGTCCCGCCTTTAATTAAACTCTGTTAGCGACGGATAATTCCCAAACGTTCTCCCTAAAAACCATGTAATCCTTAAAATCCTCCATCCACCCCCGGCGATAAATAATAATGACTAGTCCCTTAGAAGTGTCAAACTAGTCTCGTACCCAGACCCTTTCATGTCGGAAGGATGGAGAAACAAAGATTTTGGTCAAGAGAAGACATTGGAATTACTAACTTTTTAGTGGATACTGCAAAGATAAGAACTTCCGAATTATTTAGTAATACTGGCAAAAATGGTGGCCCTTTTGAAGTCTAATTATTATACGAAGTGTTCGTTTTTTTACCAATTGTCTTGGAAAGGATAAAACTGATTACATGGTAAGTGGATAGTTCTTAATTAGCCACCATTTTTGGAATAGTTTGTTATGTTACGGATTGTTATACAGACCCTGTCATTTGACTTCAAGTATTTGAGTTACCAGTCATAATTTGGTGTAATTTATCTCAGATAGTCTGGTTGCATCGAATTAAAGACAGAAACAATTGGAAACTGATAGAATCCTGGCTGTTACTTAAATTATTAAATTCGGAAGCTCTGATCGCTCATTTTTGGGGGTTTGTTTAACAGTTAGTATCACAGTTATATCCTAGTTGATATCGCACAAAGGTGATATAAAGTGGCACTCCAAAAAAAAAACTTCGGCCGTACAAAGACCAAATGGAATTCAAAATTGAAATCTTTTGATGAGTTTTCGTATCTTATTTACGTCAAAAATCAAGTTGCTGAACACCATCGATTTACACTATCACCAAAGACTGAATTTTAGAAAACTGGTTTGCTATCTAAGTGAAGACGTCTTACAACAGAGGGAACCAAACTTGACAAGTTACAAACGACTTACAAAAAAAAAAAAAAAAAAAAAAAAAGAAAAACTAGGCGCGGTTACCAAGGGACCAAATAGAATGAACTAACCTTACCGACTGATCAAAACTGACGAATCAACGGACGAAAATCCCAATTTGAGTCTGACAGCCACTTCAATGCAAAACTGACCAATCACTTTTACAAACCAAATTTGCAACGTTCGAGTTACAAAAAATTGTTCAGTCGACTCTGATGACTTCTGCTCAGGCCAGTCTCTAGTTTCGACAACAAACTTTTTCAGGACTACTCTCACCTGGATGATTGTAGTTGATGATTGACAACTGAATGATACCAATAAGAAGCTAAGTTTTTCGTTTGTCTCACGGTGTAGTCACGTGTGATGTAGATCACGACGTTTCGACTGAATACTGCTAGTCTTCTTCAGGCGATGAGGTCGACTGGTCATGCGTGATCTTATAAAGCATGATGCTTTGCTGTGATTGGTTGTTTTTCAACAGCTCTGATTTGTGCATTTCGATCCTTGCTGTTCACTCAGTGATTTGCTCCCTCGGCGGTCCTCTGTCGCATGGCTCTCCTGTTGTTGTGTTTCTTGATCGTGGGCATCCACGCTTCTGGAATCTCTATCCCACTATCCCTGTTGATGTTGTTAGGGTGAAGTCTTATATGAATAGCCTCTTTGACCCTGCGGGTGTAGTAATAAGGGTCACGATCAATAAACTTTACTTCGTTCCAGAGTGGCTTGTGTCCGGTGTTGTGGGCATGTTCTGAAACGGCGGAGGTCTCGGTACGGGCGATCGAATGTCTCGATCGTGTTTCTTAATTCTGTCTGGCACAGGTCTTTAAGTCTCTCCGATGTACACCTTGACGCATTCACAGGGAACCCTGTAAACTACACCATCTTGTTTAGCCGGGTCGACAGCGTCTTTTGGTCGTACTAACTAAGATCTTAGCGTAGTCTCCGACTTGAAAACAGCGCGTACGCCTTGTTGTTGTAGGCAATGGCGAAGCTGTTCGGATAGACCTTTAACATAAAGTAAAACCGCAGTGGCTTTGAACTCGTTGGCGGGTTCGGCACTGTTGTTTGGTTTTCTGGTCTTGGTGAGTTTCTGCAAGAAAGAAAAAGGATAACCATTAGAAACCAGAACAGATGACAGATGTTTTTTCTCCTCGGAGATAACGGAGGGTTTGGTTACGAGGCGTTTGGCGCGCTCGTAGAGGCACTTAGCAATACCGCGTTTTACTGATTGAGGGTGGTGTGAATCATACGCTAAGTATTGATCGGTGTGCGTGGGCTTCCTGTATACGCTGATGGTGAGGCGGCCGTCAGGTTCTCTTAAAACTGCGATGTCTAGGAAGGCGAGTTTGTTGTCTTTCTCTGTCTCCATGGTGAAGCGGGAGAAAAGAGAAAACGCCGGTTAAAACGCCGGTTAAAACATTGATTAAATCAAAAATTCGTTCTCGGTATGAGCTGTATCAAAGTGGAAATCTAGAAACTTAATTTAAAAAAATATATTTACATAAACGAAGCATGAATCTGGCAAAGTGCCACCTTATATCCGTTATTTTGTTACTTTGTGCCATTAACTGTTTCCGTTTGGACGTAATTTATGTCTTAAAACTCTAATGCCTGGTCACAAGCTCTTTGGACAAACAGATTAAGTGGAAATATACTACTATATAAGCCAGTTTAAAATGATTCTTTTTCACAACAAAGAAATATAGATTTTCATAATTCAAAGACGGGTTTATTTCTCGAATTTCTCGAGCGTAATTGCTTTTGATTTCTCAGTTTATGTTGTCGCGAACACAGCTTTTGGGAGTCACGATATAAAAATCGCATCGGGCCCTAGTTTCATGTTCTAATAGCAAATAAATAGCAAATAAAAACAATTTCTCTTCAGAAATAAAGTTATAAATAGCAAGGGTTCTTTGAAACAAGTAGTGAGAGAGAGGGTTTCAGTTCTGGTCAATATTGACTTTTCATAGCCTATTTTCAAATCTGAGGGAACGCACAGAGGGAATAAAAAAAACATACATATATGATAATGCAAGAAAGAGGATACAAATACAGATAAAGAAAAAGGAGACAACATAGGAACCCGTGTTGCTTGAACTTTTGCAGATATCTTTTGAGCCACACCTACACACCACGCAATGAAACTCGTACCAACTGGCTCGAACGTGCACGCAGGAAAGGCCATGGCATGACCATATTCGAAGTCAAAAAACAGGAAAATAAATTAAAAGAAGGCTTAAGAACTTTCTAGAAGTTTTACCTTGAAAAAAAAGGTGGGACATTTTTACTTCTCAAGAAAGGTCACAAAGTCACGCTACAAATAATATTTTTGCGTGGAATTTCTTGATGGTGGATGGTGGAAATAACATTTTCCAGTCTTATTTTCTGGAAACATAGCGCATTTAATGAATTTCGTGGGGCTACTGATATTTCTTTTCAAATGAGGAGGCAGAGTTTCCCGCCATCCACGGTCTGGGAGGAAGCCGAAGTTGTTACACACGGGAACTTGTACGTTAACAAGCACGCGACATGTGACTTTAAAATCTCCTCTCCTGTTACAGTTTCCTTATTGTAAACTGTACGATAATGGCAAGAAAAATCAAATCATGGACTAATGAATTTCTAGTGCCGTGCAAAAGCCATATTTGCTGATTTTAGCAAATCTCCAAAGTAATAAACGACAGAAGAAAGAAAAGCTACCATTTTATAACCAACATTTCGCCCACATGCATCTCTTGAAATTTTTCATTCCCACAAAAAAACCTCGAAAATTTTTTACATTTGTTCGCTTTCTTTATCAATCATCTTGTATAAAGAGCTATAAAATGTACGTTTATTTGGTCAAGTTGTAACTCTCTGGTAAGGGGAGATAATTGACCTCAAAGTTGTCAAATATTTGGATGAATCGAAAAGTCTGAAAACAGTCATTTATTTGCCTCTGTTGATTGACAAGCCGTTAATCAAATGAACTGTTACCTGCATCGGGCATTAACTAAGGATGTAATAACATGTATGCACACCCTCAGAGTAATCGGTTCAATACCATCGCAGTGAGAGCTTCATACATTTTATCTATTTTGAAGCGATTTCTATGGCGAGAAACAAGGAAAACCGGGGGGTGGTCTATCTCCCCCGGAAAAAAACCAAAACAGAAACTAGTTTGTCGTTTTGAGTTTTAGGGTAGACCCTTAAAACTGGCAAAGTTTCATTGAAATCGGTGAGATCGCAAGTAGCACGACTGTTGTGAAGAAACGGAACACGAATCTCAGAACTGAACCTTGCAAACCTTAAGAATTGAACTTTGCAAACCTTGAGAATTGAACCTTGCAAACCTTAAGAACTCAACGCTGCGAACATTTATGTTATTTTTTAATCAGAACCTAGCTTGAAACCGAATACTACCTATCTTATCAAAGGGCATGTTAATTGACACACGCATAGCTTTCATATGCCAGAATTGAGTTTAAGCCTTCGAGAGTATTTGTTTTCCACGAGAACGGATAGTTTCTTTTTGACAAGTTAGACCCTTGGAATCTTATAAATCTAATTATCGGAGGATATAGCCAATAAAAACTTTATCAACTACCTGGTACTCTCGTGGACACCCTTTTGTACCTAGCCTACTGTTTAAAATTTACTGATTTCGCTATACTTTAAAGCCTTACGAACGTCAACATTGTTTTGTGCTTATTATATCAGAAATATAATTTTTGCGTTAAAAAACAAAACATCCTTGAGTACGTAACCAATGCATCCTTCTTAGAAAATTTAAAAAAGAAAGCACAAAAAAATTGAACTAGATCTCCTCTAATTTGGGAGAGCCCTTTTTTTGATTTCAGTGAAATACCGTCAGAGTATTTTCTCCACATGTTTCTATACAATTTATGCATCTAAAAGTCTTTTAGCTCTGTTTCCTTTGAGTGATTCTCATTATTTACTCTGTCGGGGTCTCTTTTTCTGTAAAAAAGTAAAAAAAAAACAATTTGTTTCAAACTCAACTAAAATTGTTAATATAAAGCAAATACAATTATACCAAGCTCAACATGTAAAAATATAAATGGCTAACATTGGCAGAGAGACCTTTCGAAATTCTATATTTATACCAGAGAGCGTCTAAAGTAACTCTCCGAAAAGACCAAAAAAAAAAAAAAAAAAAAAAAATATATATCTATGTGTGGAAATATATTGAACTAGCCTTGATGTTCAAGGTAACAAAGGATCCCCGCCGACGGTCAGCGACCGCTAAACCATAGCCACCTTCACACCCAATTTAAATTAATTTGTGAAATATCTTTTCGAACTGTCTCACCTGGGCGCGCCAAACTAAAACCTCACGCCATCTCCAATCAGCGTGAATGAAGCCCATTGAGACACTTGGGTAAAACCATTTTTTCTCATCCACTTCATAGCCTGGTGAAGGGATTCACTGGCACTTTCTCCTTCAACAAGGTGTTCGTAAAACCGACTCATCACCTTCTCTGTTGCAGAGTCTGGAATGGCCCACAGCGCAACCAACACCGAGCGAGCACCGGATCCTAAGAACGCACGGGCAATTCCTATAATTCCCTCAGCTCTTATCTGACCACTTCCACTGTGACAGCAACCAAGTACCACCAGTCTAGCTCTGACTATCACTCGTGAGACATCAGCCTGTGGTGGGATAGCGTTTCGATTATTGGAAGTAGGAATGGAGGAGAGGGCAATTTCTCCCCTTTCGGCGTCACCATGGGCAGCAAAATGAATCAGGCTCACTGAACTTATCCGCTCAAGTACCGCCTGCTTCATTGCTTTCTCGTCTACCAGGGGCGGAACACCCACTAGTCGTCCGACCATCTCCGCTTCCTTTCTTGCACCTGGAAATGGCGACAGCGGCCCATCAACCTTGGGATTGCCTATTATTAAGGCACCAGTGTTGCTGTGATAGTCCTCTGGACTATCTTGAATGATCTTGAGCGTCGTCAAAGAAGGAATGACACGGATCCTATGAGTCTCCGAGAGGTATTCGGCTCCCTCCTTTTCACTCAGTGCGGCAAAGGGAACTTTGTACAAACGGCGGTCAGGAACGATGATGACTTCAGCCTCCTCAAGCAAATCTTTAACGGGAGCAATAAACATTTTTTAACACAAGTATAGACTTGAAATGACTTTCTCGTCCTCGTCCTCCTCCATGAGTCGCAATCTTGCTGAGCTCTTCTGTTCGGGGGAGACAGGATGCAATTTATCATATTTAAAGAGCGATCTTCACAATCTTCAGTGGACAAAATACCAAGACTCCGGAAATTATCATCCAAAAATTTACTCAAGTAAGGTAAATCTTTGGGCAACCCAGCCTGAACTAGATTATCTTCTGGTGAAATTCTTCTATGGTGAAGGACTCCACTTGTTTTCAAGATCCACAAATGCAGATGATTGCGAAAATAAGAAATATACAGGCAAGTACAGTTATTTTTCCCTCTAAAAATGTTCTCAATGCCAAACCAAGATTGTGGATTAGCAGAGATGTGCGTTATAACCGAGTGCTTCTCTGCCATCAAGTCTGATAGGCCTCTAGCTCGACTCAACTCCTCAACGTATAGAGCATCACGAGCATTTCCGGCTCAACCTTCCGAACTTCTGCTGTCACAGTGTTTTAGGTATCCAGATCACGTGTGTTTAGGTTATTCCCTTCCCCCTCTAGGCTTATCGAAATAAAAAGGAAAAGTTCTAAATTGCATAATTTTTGTGTACCTGTTAGCCTGTCCATCGCGCGTCTCATTTAGGTTGAAATTTTCAATAGTTAGTAGTCATGATAAACTGCTTATGACCAAATTTGGTGGGGTCAGTGGGTAAAATATTTGGGTAGTGATTTAGGTAAGTGTCAAGGGTAATATTTTCTTTTCTTCTATAATGCTATGATTCCACAAAATTTCATGCACCTGTAAACAATCAATAGTCTTTCCCCTTGGCAGGAAGTTGGAAAAGTGACACCATAGCTTCTTTGAAATACAACTTTCCTGTTAAAGTCTTAGCAATATGAAATGATGTCTGGTTAGCAAACTGTTTTTCCTTTGACCATTTCCAGTAAAGTAGAAGTTCATAATTTTGCAATGTGAGTATGACTTGGTTCAGTACTGTCACTTCAAAGAGACCTTTTCTAATACAATTATAGAACTTATGCAGTATTTTAATAAATTTGTTCAAGCCAAGTATTGTTTTTTCATAAAATAGATTTGGACAAGAAAAATGATAATAAAGAGAAGGTGTGAAAGAAGTGGAATGGTGAAGTAAAGTAAATAGTAACCTAACAACAACTGACATTACAATAAACTAGGCTAACATTTGTTTTAGATGCCATTTTCCACAGTATTCAGAAAATATTTAATTTACCATGCTCATGCGAAAAGAAATTAAATTTTAGAAACAGTATGGGGCCCAAGAAATATTTTTCAATCTGTAACAAATAGGGATTTTTTCATGGAAAGTGTGCACAAATGAGATTTATTGCATCAAACAAAAATTAACATGTGAGCCTAGTGAACTAGTGAATTTTTTTGATCAACGCGACATTTGGATAAAAATTGTTCAAGCATTTTCCATGGTATGATGCTTCCATTTCATACATACTAAGTTTTTTTCTAACCGTCCAACAAAGATTGGAAGCTGACAACTGTGAAAATACATTGTTTGTTTCATTAGAGCCACAAATGATACTACTAAACAGTGTAAATCCCTATTTGTATTAAAATAAATTCCATTTCTTAACAATTCTCAAATAGAAGATTAAATAATTTTTCAAAGATTTAAAGGTGAGAAGGAAAAAAAAGGTGATACTATATGATTATTTTTGACTGTTGACAAAGAAATTAAAATTTAATATAGATCAAATAAAAAACCCTTTGAAGGTCCATTGCAACAGTTTCCAGTTCATACACATATACAAAGACTGTTTTATTTCCAATCCAACAAAAGCTGCCATAAGCAGGCATTGAAAGATAAAAATCTATGATAATACAAATAGGGATTTTAGGGCAAAAGGGTAATTTATTTAGATCTTGTGAGTATAGTTGTCAGTTGGGTAACATCTCCTTGCAAGTGCATTGCCTTACCTCAACTTTTAATTTCTTTTTTTTTTCTATCAAAGAAATAAAAAATGTTTCAACTTAGGAGGGAGAGGCCACTCCTACACGGTGGATGTGGTGACCATGCCCACCACGTCAACCTTATTAAAAATATAAAATATGAATCAAAATGAAATCAACTGTCTCTCATTCATTTTATAAATTTAAATTTGCAGCAGATGAATTCAGCCATAACTGCAAATGATAATTTCTTACCAAGCCTGAGGGCCATACAAGAGAACATTTTCCTGAGTTCCTTACAAAAACAGCGGATGGCCAATATTCCTCAGTAGAATTTGAGCAAGAAAAGTTAGCAAGTGATTCATTACATTGCAATTGGACTAAACTTTTAAATTTGGTGCCTTTCAAAACAAAAATACATGGATTATGATCGTTTCACAGGAAACGGTCTGCATGGAAAAGTGCAGAACAAGTAAGAACCAGATCAGTGCTGGTAATTACCTCCATACTACTGTAGTTATTCGGTTATGAGGCGCACTCGGCTATAAGACGCACCCGCAATTCGGCAACTTCATTATTGCGTGTTTTCAAACTGAAAATATCGCTAAAATACTTGGTTATAAGGCGCATCGTTGTTTGGGGAGTAAAGATCGGTCAAGTTTATTGTAAATTCTTTCATAAACTTACAAAAAAGCGAAAAAGTCGCGTATTGATTTTAGTTTACCGTTCATTAACAAAAGCAGAATTGTGAATGAAAGTGATCCTCGCAGTAATGTGCACTACTTAGGCAGTAGTGAAAATAAGGCCTGAAAAATATTCAGGCCTGTACGGGATTTGAACCCATGACCTCCGCGATACCGGTGCAGCGCTCTACCAACTGAGCTAACAAGCCAACTGGGAACTGGTCATGAAGTTGGTTCTAAATAAACCCGTGAAGTGATGAATAAATAGTTAAGAATATACGAAAGTCATATATCTTTATCCGCAGTTCAAATATATGACTTTCGTATATTCTTAACTATTTATTCATGACCAGCTCCCAGTTGGCTTGTTAGCAATTCGATCAACAAAAACAGTAGCGCAAATTTACTTCATCTGGTGAACATCATCTTGCGAAGTCTACATTCAGCACAATCATGCCAAACACTCGCCGTCATTCTAATGATCTCAACTTCAAGTTGAAAATCGTAATAGAAGCTGAAGCTGTTAACAACAACCGAGAGATAGCGAGGGAAAACGGAATTTTCGAATCAATGGTTTCGATCAATGGTTCGGCGACCCTAATCAACTGTAGGCCGACTGGTTCAGTGATCAAAGGAGCCAAGGTAGGCAAATGCCTTCTTATCTAACACATGAAAGTTCACACGGCAACCAGGTGGACAATCAGACATAGTTTGATGCTACTCTGGTTTGCAGATTTAATGAATGTAACCGAAGAAGATACAATTCATAGACCCAACGTTTCGACAATCCTGTCTAGTGCCTTCATCAGGGGCGATCTAGACGTTGTAACTAGGGGTCCTTTTATATGATCACTAATTAGCGGCCTTTTTTTTTTCTCTGACGAAGTGTAAAAAGGCGTCAGGAAGCAAACCGCCATCGTCACGATCTAAACCTCCACCCAAAAACATTCAAAAGGATGTTTTCAATGCGCTTATAGCTCTCAAAAAGGATCCGGACAGGCTCGTATTATCTGCTGACAAGGGTAATTGTGTTGTGGTTATGGACAAACAGCAATATCACGACAAAGCTTTGTCTCTGCTTAATGACAAGAGTACGTATGCTGTCTTAAACTCTGATCCTACCAGAAAAACTCAAAGAAAGTTGAACAAAATGTCGCTTGGTAAAATTAGTGACTCCACGTACAAAATATTATACAGTAGTGACGGCTTTTGTCCACGTTTTTATGGCTTACCTAAAATTCATAAACCGGGAATTCCTTTGAGACCCATTGTCCCTTTTGTTAATTCTCCGACTTATGCAATTTCTGGTTATCTTGCGGGAATTTTGGCGCCTGTTGTTGGGAATACTGATTACACTGTCAAAAAATTCCTGCGAATTTGCGGATTTCAACCACAACGTTAAAGTTGCTCAAAAACCTTCTAAAAGACTTCAGTTTATATGCATTGGCGATACGCATGTTTTGAACTAAAAACATACTTTAGTACCCACTGGAGCGTATAGTGTTATGTATTTCTACTAGAACGTTAAGGACGTAACTGCCCAAAAACAGTTATAAATAGTAACGCTCTTGATGAAAGGGAACCAGCGACTAGTTTTGCTGTTATTACAGGGTGTTACGAATTAACTTATTCTACAACAGATGAACTCTATATTCCAAGACAGGATTACTTCCATAGTTCGCTGCTTCGCGCAGGGTCCATAGCACAAGAGGCAAGTGACCAGTTAAAAATTGAAGTATTGACATGCCCGCATGACACTCCCGCCATCCGCAAGCGATTTTAAATTTCTGTCTCCAAAGATCAGTTCTGGCCAGGATATACTTTAATTAACAAATAGAGAAGCCTTGACTGTGCTCTGTTCTGTTATAAAGCACGCAGGAAGCGGCTAGAGCACGAAAGAAGTGTAGGGAGAAACACGAGACGTAGTCGAGTGTTTCTTCCCACTTCTTGAGTGCTCTAGCCGCTTCCTAAGTGCTTTATACCAGAACAGAGCACAGTCAAGGCTTCTCTATTTGTTTTATAATAAAGAATCCGTTAAATTCCCTATGTATTACTTTCAATTTTCAAAACAAACTTTATTTCCAAAGCGAACAACAGTGTCGTCAGCATGCTCTATACTCTCATAGAGCACGCTACAATAAGCCAATCAGAATCCCTGATAGAATGGGTAAAATAATCTGATTAGCTGTACAAGACAAAAGCTGTCAAAAGTGTCAAACCATCAAAGTTAAAAAACAATCAAAGTTCACAATCTGCGATAGTTTACAAACTAAAATAATTCGGCAGGTCGAATTTAACGCTTTTGCCTGAAGTTTTTAATCATTTAATGTTCAGTGAACTTAAGCCGAATTATGGCTCAGAAAAACACGCGGGTTTTTTCACATGACAAGGTAGAAAACAAACTGTTCAAGGCGAGTGTTTTTTAAATGAACGACAGCCGAATTCACCGGAATATGAAGATGGCTCGGGATGACAGCGCCGCAAAACACGGCTGCAGTGACCGAAGTGACTTTCTACTCAACACATCGGAAAGGATATCAGAGCGAGCTCTTATTTTTTCACTCGAACGGCGGCCGATGTAGTTTCTGAGGCTTCCTTTACTGTGATGACCGGAGATCGCCATGATAAGTGAGGTGCGATGGACTTCAGCATGATCATATTTGCTCGGACACCGTCATGATTAGTATGAATTTTAACAGTTATGCCAGTTTGGTTATATTTTTCATCATTTCTGTTTTGTTTTTGAACTCTGATTTTTATATACTATACGAGTGTTGGCTGTGTTTGATTTTCATTACCGTGCGTAAGCTTGCAATCTAACTGAGCGTGAAATTCTTTAAAACTCGGAATGTCTATTTTGTTTTTCCTTTGAGGATTTTCGTATCTGCCCACGTTTTAATAACGTAAATAACGGCGCCTGGTATGTTTACAAACCTTTCTTTGGTTCTTCTGTTACTACTTGCCGGCTCGCTTGTTCCGAAATTTCACTTTCAATTATCGGAAAAAAGCTAAAAAGAAGTCCCGGAAAAGGTCGAACATGGTACAATTTGGTAGATGGCGTGACAGCTTTAGCTCAGTTCTATGCTCTATACTCTCATAGAACACGCTCTTTCAACCAATGACAGCGCGCGTTATATCCGAACTTTATTATAATGTTTTATGGCCATGTGATTTTGAATGTGACATTTCCACATCAGCGTGTTCTTGAGCTTTTGTAAAGCCGGAAGTGATACTTCTCTACTGGAGCAGATAACTTCAGACACGTATTTCTCCAGAACTTCGTCAGGTATCCTCTTACCCCTCTTTTAGTCGTATTTTTAAGCTCTGTAGGATTTTTTTCTAATGTTGAGTGCTTCGGATTTATTTTTAGGATGCGCAACGCTTAATGTCTTAACTTTACTGAATTCGTTTTACTCAAAAGGCTTACGTAGGTCAACATTGTTTCGTGCATATTATATCAGAATATGATTTTTGCGTGAAAAACAAAAAATTGTTGAGTACATAACCATTACCTCCTCCTGAGAATATTAGTAAAGAAAGCACCAAAAATTGGACTAAATCTCCCCTAACCTGGGATAGCTCTTTTTTTTTAATGTCGATGAAATACCGGATAGAGTATTTTCTCTATTATTTCTAATAATTTATCCATCTAAAAGTCTTTTAACTCTGTTCCCTTCGAGTACTTGTCATTATTTACTCTATCGAGGTCTTTTTTCCTGCAAGAAAAAAATTGAAATAACCCAATTTATCATTACCTCAATTAACATTTTGGATATAAAGCAAACACAATTACACCAAGCACAATATATATAAATAATTGGCTATTACTTGTATCTCATTGGTAGAGAGGCATCCGTGAGATTCTATACTTTACACCAGAGAGCGGAGATAGTAACTCTTCAAAAAGGAAAAAGAAGTGTGTGTAGATATATATATATATATATATATTTATATATATATATATATATTTATATTTATATATATATATATATATATATATTTATATTTATGTACATATTTATATATATATAGATAGATATCAAACTAGCCTTGATGTTCAAGGTAAGAAAGGATCCCCATCCGGTCAACGACCAGTAAGTCATAACCATTTTCACGTCTAATCTAACTTTAATTTATGAAATACCTGTTCTCACTGAGTCTTGCCGCTGCGTGTCAAAGTCGAGTCTCACATCATCTCCAATCAGCGTAAACGAAGCCCACTCAGACATTTTGTTCAAGCCGTTTTTTCTCATCCACTTCATGGCATGATGAAGGGATTCACTGGCACTTCCACCTTCAATGAGGTGTTCGTAGAACCGACTCATCAGCTGCTCTGTTGCTGAGTCTGGAATGGCCCACAGCGCAACCAACACCGAGCGAGCACCGGATCCTAAGAACGCACGGGCAATTCCTATAACTCCCTCGGCTCTTATCTCTCCACTTCCACTGTGACAGCAGCTAAGTACCACCAGTTTAGGTCTGACTTTCACTCGTGAGATATCAGCCATCGTCAACATGTAAGCTTCCTTCGGGATAGCGTTTTGACTGTTGGGAGTAGGAATGGGGGAGAGTGCAATTTCTCCTCTTTCCGCGTCACCATGGGCAGCAAAATGTATCAAGCTCACTGAACTTATCCACTCAAGTACCGCCTGCTTCGTTGCTTTCTCTTCAACTAGAGGCGGAACACCCACCAATCGTCCGACCATCTCCGCTTCCTTTCTTGCAGCTGGCAATGGTTGCAGCCAATTAACCTTGGGATTGCCTATTACCAAGGCACCAGTGTTGCTGTGATAGTCCTCTGGACTATCTTGAATGTTCTTGAGTGTTGTCAACGAAGGAATGATACGGATCTTATGAGTCTCTGACAAGTATTCGGCTCCTTCCTTTTCACTCAGGGCAGCAAAGGGAACTTTGTACAACCTGCGGTCAGGAACAATAATGACTTCAGGCTCATCAAGCAAATCATAAACGGGGGCAATGAACATTTTGTAACATAAATGTAGACTTGAAATCACTTTCTCGTCCTCGTCTTCGTCCTCGACCTCCTCCACGAGTCGTAATCTTGCTGAGCTCTTTTGCGCGGGGGAGAGAGGTTGCAATTTAATCGTATTTAAAGACCGATCTTCACAATCTTTAGTGGGCAAAATACCAAGACTCCGGAAATTATCATCCAAAAATTTACTCAAGTAAGGTAAATCTTTGGGCAACCCAGCCTGAACTAGATTATCTTCTGGTGAAATTCTTCTATGGTGAAGGACTCCACTTGTTTTCAAGATCCACAAATGCAGATGATTGCGAAAATAAGAAATATACAGGCAAGTACAGTTATTTTTCCCTCTAAAAATGTTCTCAATGCCAAACCAAGATTGTGGATTAGCAGATATGTGCGTTTCAACCGAGTACTTCTCTGCCATTAAGTCTGATAGGCCTCTAGCTCGACCCAACTCCTCAACATAAATAGCATCCCGAGCATTTCCGGTGGCACAAAGCAAAGCACAAAGCAGTTTGTAAGGAAATATTCCTGTGTCCTCCAGTAATGATGTTTTGAACTGATCATTGGCGCCCAAGAAATATCTCAGCTCCTCATACTTTTCAATGCACAGATGAAGACACGACAGGGAGTCTTTGATTTTATATTGGTACAAATACAAAACGGCGTAGCTTCCGAGGATTTCGAACTCTTTTCTTCCATCTCCAATATCTCTGGATATTAATAAGGCTTTCTCCAAGCATACTTCCGAAGCTTAAAAATCACCAACAGTTCTAGTACCTAGGTTTCCATAGTTAGTTGCCTCCCCTCCTCTGTCGCCAATTTCAGTTGTGATGACAAGCGCTTTTTGGAGATACTCTTCAGCCTTGTCGTATTGGCCAAGCGACTTAAACACAGTACCTAGGTTTTCATAACATGATGCTTCCCCTTCTCTGTTGCCAATTTCAGTTGTGATGACAAGCGCTTTATGGAGATACTCCTCAGCCTTGTCGTATTGGCCAAGCGACTTAAACACAGTACCTAGGTTTCCATAACATGATGCTTCCCCTTCTCTGTCGCCAATTTCAGTTGCGATGACAAGCGCTTTTTGGAGACATTCGCTGCATATCTCAATGGCTTTCTGAATGCGATCTGAGTTGAGCAAGAACCGGGCAACAAGTAAGGCGAAGCTCATGAAAGGTGTCATGGCTTCTGCTGTTAAGTTTGCATTGCAACCCTCTCCTGTTATCAGGGAAACATTATTTTTATTAACACAATACTAAACAAAAAAAGGAAAAAAAAAAAAAAAGAAAACGGACGGAGTGGATCGGTAATTTGCTCCAACATAACCACATCACTTGTTATCACATGCTTAATAGTTTTTCATATTTCTTTTGAGGAAGGGAGAGGTGGGGGGATGAATTTCGGTTTTGTACGTCACACTTTTGTGACCAATGATAGAATTGAAAATAGAATTGAAATTTCAGTTTTGATGAGAAGCGCTTTTTGGAGATACTCTTAAGCCTTGTCGTATTGGCCAACGGACAGAAACACAGTACCTAGGTTTCCATAACACGATGCTTCCTTTTGTCTGTCGCCAATTTAAGTTGTGATGACTAGCGCTTTTTGGAGATACTCTTCAGCCTTGTCGTATTGGCCAAGCGACTCAAACACTGTACCTAGGTTTCCATAACATGATGCTTCCCCTTCTCTGTCGCCAATTTCAGTTGTGATGACAAGCGCTTTTTGGAGATACTCTTCAGCCTTGTCGTATTGGCCAAGCGACGTAAACACAGTACCTAGGTTTCAAAACATGATGCTACCCCTTTTCTGTCGCCAATTGCAGTTCTGATGAGAAGCGCTTTTTGAAGATACTCTTCAGCCTTGTCGTATTGGCCAACGGACAGAAACACAGTACCTAGGTTTCCATAACATGATGCTTCCTTTTGTCTGCCGCCAATTTCAGTTGTGATGAATAGCGCTTTTTGGAGATACTCTTCAGCCTTGTCGTATTGGCTAAGCGACTCAAACACAGTACCTAGGTTTCCATAGATAGTTGCCTCCCCTTCTCTGTCGCCAATTTCAGTTGTGATGACAAGCGCTTTTTGGAGATACTCTTCAGCCTTGTCGTATTGGCCAAGCGACTTAAACACAGTACCTAGGTTTCCATAACATGATGCTTCCTTTTGTCTGTCGCCAATTTCAGTTGTGATGACTAGCACTTTTTGGAGATACTCTTCAGCCTTGTCGTATTGGCGAAGCGACTCAAACACACTACCTAGGTTTCCATAGTTAGTTGCCTCCCCTTCTCTGTCGCCAATTTCAGTTGTGATGACTAGCGCTTTTTGGAGATACTCTTCAGCCTTGTCGTATTGGCCAAGCGACTCAAACACAGTACCTAGGTTTCCATAACATGATGCTTCCCCTTCTCTGTCGCCAATTTCAGTTGTGATGACAAGCGCTTTTTGGAGATACTCTTCAGCCTTGTCGTATTGGCCAAGCGACTTAAACACAGTACCTAGGTTTCCATAGCATGATGCTACCCCTTTTCTGTCGCCAAATGCAGTTGTGATGACAAGCGCTTTTTGGAGATACTCTTCAGCCTTGTCGTATTGGCCAAGCGACTCAAACACAGTACCTAGGTTTCCATAACATGATGCTTCCCCTTCTCTGTCGCCAATTTCAGTTTTGATGACAAGCGCTTTTTGGAGATAACCTTCAGCCTTGTCGTATTGGCCAAGCGACGTAAACACAGTACCTAGGTTTCCATAGTTAGTTGCCTCCCCTTCTCTGTCGCCAATTTCAGTTGTGATGACTAGTGCTTTTTGGAGATACTCTTCAGCCTTGTCGTATTGGCCAACGGACAGAAACACAGTACCTAGGTTTCCATAACACGATGCTACCCCTTTTCTGTCGCCAATTGCAGTTCTGATGACAAGCGCTTTTTGGAGATACTCTTCAGCCTTGTCGTATTGGCCAACGGACAGAAACACAGTACCTAGGTTTCAATAACATGATGCTTCCTTTTGTCTGTCGCCAATTTCAGTTGTGATGACTAGCGCTTTTTGGAGATACTCTTCAGCCTTGTCGTATTGGCCAAGCAGCTCAAACACAGTACCTAGGTTTCCATAACATGATGCTTCCCCTTCTCTTTCGACAATTTCAGTTGTGATGACAAGCGCTTTTTGGAGATACTCTTCAGCCTTGTCGTATTGGCCAAGCGACTTAAACACAGTACCTAGGTTTCCATAGTTAGTTGCCTCCCCTTCTCTGTCGCCAATTTCAGTTGTGATGACAAGCGCTTTTTGGAGATACTCTTCAGCCTTGTCGTATTGGCCAAGCGACACAAACATAGTACCTAGGTTTCCATAGTTAGCTGCCTCCCCTTCTCTGTCGCCAATTTCAGTTGTGATGACAAGCGCTTTTTGGAGATACTCTTCAGCCTTGTCGTATTGGCCAACGGACATAAACACAGTACCTAGGTTTCCATAACATGATGCTTCCCCTTTTTTGTCGCCAATTTCAGTTCTGATGACAAGTGCTTTTTGGAGATACTCTTCAGCCTTGTCGTATTGGCCAAGCGACTCAAACACAGTACCTAGGTTTCCATAACATGATGCTTCCCCTTTTCTGTCGCCAATTTCAGTTGTGATGACAAGCGCTTTTTGGAGATACTCTTCAGCCTTGTCGTATTGGCCAAGCGACTCAAACACAGTACCTAGGTTTCCATAACATGATGCTTCCCCTCCTCTGTCGCCAATTTCAGTTCTGATGACAAGCGCTTTTTGGAGATACTCTTCAGCCTTGTCGTATTGGCCAAGCGACGTAAACACAGTACCTAGGTTTCCATAGTTAGTTGCCTCCCCTTCTCTGTCGCCAATTTCAGTTGTGATGACTAGTGCTTTTTGGAGATACTCTTCAGCCTTTTCGTATTGGCCAACGGACAGAAACACAGTACCTAGGTTTCCATAACATGATGTTTCCTTTTGTCTGTCGCCAATTTCAGTTGTGATGAGAAGCGCTTTTTGGAGATACTCTTCAGCCTTGTCGTATTGGCCAAGCGACTCAAACACAGTACCTAGGTTTCCATAACATGATGCTTTCCCTTCTCTGTCGACAATTTCAGTTGTGATGACAAGCGCTTTTTGGAGATACTCTTCAGCCTTGTCATATTGGCCAAGCGACGTAAACACAGTACCTAGGTTTCCATAACATGATGCTTCCCCTTCTCTGTCGCCAATTTCAGTTTTGATGACAAGCGCTTTTTGGAGATAACCTTCAGCCTTGTCGTATTGGCCAAGCGACGTAAACACAGTACCTAGGTTTCCATAGTTAGTTGCTTCACCTTCTCTGTCGCCAATTTCAGTTGTGATGACTAGCGCTTTTTGGAGATACTCTTCAGCCTTGTCGTATTGGCCAAGCGACTTAAACACAGTACCTAGGATTCCATAGTTAGTTGCCTCCCCTTCTCTGTCGCCAATTTCAGTTGTGATGATTAGCGCTTTTTGGAGATACTGTTCAGCCTTGTCGTATTGGCCAAGCGACTTAAACACAGTACCGAGGTTTCCATAACATGATGCCTCCCCTCCTCTGTCGCCAATTTCAGTTCTGATGACAAGCGCTTTTTGGTGATATTCTTCAGCCTTGTCGTATTGGCCAAGCGACTTAAACACAGTACCTAGGTTTCCATAGTTAGTTGCCTCCCCTTCTCTGTCGCCAATTTCAGTTGTGATGACAAGTGCTTTTTGGAGATACTCTTCAGCCTTGTCGTATTGGCCAAGGGACTCAAACACAGTACCTAAGTTTCCATAACATGATGCTTCTCCGCTTCTGTCGCCAATTTTGGTTGTTATGGCAAGGGCCTTCTCAACATATTCCTTTGCTTTTAGGCTTTTGCCAAGTTTATAAAGCATAATTCCATACTCTCAGTATAAGTCAAACAGTTTCCTCCCGTATCTTTCCGCACTTATGTAGTCAGAGATATGACGATACGCGCTGAAAAGAATGGTATAGATGTCGCTGTAAAATTGTAGCAGTGCCGAATCAAATTGGTCTTTGCTGTTTTGATCGGTGCAAGTTAGCAAAATCAAACATTCGCTGCATATCTCAATGGCTTTCTGAATGCGATCTGAGTTGAGCAAGAACAGGGCAACAAGTAAGGCGATGCTCATGAAAGGTGTCATGGCTTTTGCTGTTAGGTTTCCATTGCAATTTTCTCCTGTTATCAGGGAAACATTATTTTATTAACACAACACTAAACAGAAAAAGAAAAAAAAAAAAAGAAAACGGACGGAGTGGATCGGTAATTTTCTCGAACATAACCACATCACTGGTCTTACCTTTGAAGACGTTAATCCAGTGACTGAAATATGGCAACAAGCAAATGACATCAGAGATAGGAGGTGGCTTGACTTCCAGTAATAATCAATAGTCATACTTAATAGTACTTCATATTTCTTTTGAGGAAGGGAGAGGTGGGGGATGAATTTCGGTTTTGTACGTCACACTTTTGTGACCAATGATAGAATTGAACATGTAAAAATAAATTATTTATTTCTTTTTTTAACAGGAAACGTCAGGCTTCTGTGTCCATCCATTTCGAAAATTGAAATTTATTACAAGATCGATACCAACAGAACCAAAGCTTCTTTCTTTAAACGGTAAGCTATCTGTGAGCGATAATCAACTTTTCATGAACTGATATGGAAAACCGATCCGTAGTTTACTCAGCAGTGAATCTATTTCGGTTTTGTACGTCACATTTTTATAACTTCAAATCGACCATCTTTCGTTCCCCATACAACTCCTTATGACGTGTTCAACTCTGGTAAGTTAACACCGAGTCACACAACGCGTGACACTTTCATGAATTAAGAGAGAATTTTTCTGGAGACCGCGTGAAATCAAAAAAATGTGGCACATGCCTAGAAAAAGCCCTACCTTCATACTTCGCTCAAAGATACCTTAGGGTAAGTCTATAAACGTGGTATAATTTTTTTTGTTCAGAACTGTTTTTATTTTCTAGAAAATCACCAAACACTATATCGAGCCCAAACCGCCATAACAGTGGCCCAAATGAAGCCGACGAGTAGGGCAACAAAAACGTTATTCTTCAAAAGCGCAAAAGAAAGCAAGTCTTTCCGAATATTATCTATTTGTATACGAGGTATTAACAAATGATTTGAATCTAATAACGGGATTATTGACATAACTATGAATTATTGGCGAATATTTGAAAATCGCCAAAATTTGATTGATTAAAAATTTCATTTTGGAGCAGTTTTTCAATAAAAATTTTTCCTACTCGGTATAACTCGGAATCACTTGAGATGAGCATTTCTGAAAATTGGAAACGATGTTCTTTTCAAGGATATAAAAATTAATTTGGGGCTCTTATTTACTGCGAAGAAATAGCCCGATCTATTTCGTGCAAATCGCAACGCCGCCGTGTAAACAACCGCAGATAATCCAATTATTCTTTTATTATCGAAGCCATAATTTCTTCAAAATCTTACCGCTTTGAGCTGTGCTTTATCAGAAACTCAATATGTTACCCTTACCTTCTGAAACCAGTGATTAAGGAGTGATGTTTCCATTATTTTTGTTTCAAATCGCCATGTTCACTTGAAAAGTGTTTACAACGTCCGGCTTGACCATTTACAATACTCGGAGCTGTTCATAAATCATCGCAAACCATCGCAACTCTATATTCTGCTTCCATACAACTCCAGTATACACAAAAGTCTTTTTAGCACGATAAACCAAGATGCTTTGATTGCTTATAGTTTCAGTTAAGAAACGTTTGGCTCCCCAAATGGCACAACGATGTTCACCAACGAAGTCGTGTGTCATCACTCATGTTTGTCACGCAATCACACTAAACGTGCACAGGACACCCAGACAGGCATTCGTCTGCAGACATCGCTGTACCGAGTGCAGGGCCAACTAATATTTATTTCTTAGTCAGTGTTATGTTTTAAACAAAAACCTGCGCGAATTCACTTAAAAAACGTAGTAGATCTCTTTTGAGTGTTTTGAATCAGTGCCATTCTGAAAAACTACTTTTGACGTTTTCGTAAATTTAGTCACCCCCTGGTACTGACTATACATTCGTTGTTATCGACTCTATTTCCACGACTACGCGCTTGCAAAGATTCTATTTATCAATAGGTACTTTAAGCATGACGTTTAACGGCAAACGGCAAACGCAAGCTTGCCTTTCATTTTGTTACCTATTTATGGAATTCTTAAAAAAATCCTGCACAAAAAATAAAATAAAATAAAATAAATCAAACCTACTTAATTCCGTGTACACACGCCTAGAGACAGACGACAGAAATTGAATTTTTGACGTTCGCGGGAAAAACAAACGTCATGCGTAACCTCTCAAATGACGAACTTCCCAGTTAACTAAAACAACTAGTTGGAAGTTAATTGTCTAGTGCTCCGTGATTATATACATCACCTACGTGTCCCTAGTGGATCGATAAGGTCTACCATGACCTTCAGTGGCAGGCAGACAGGTTCCACGGTGAGGCGTTCTTTTCTAATGACACTGGAAAAATTCTACCGACTATGTAAACAGAACAACAGACTAACAATTTCGTGCTTTATCTAAGCACTTTGAACGTTAAACTTCACTAAAAACGTAAATCTTCGAGTCACAAAGTCGGCCGCTTGTATCAGGCCGCGAGACATTACGTGTCATTTGATATCGCCTGACTGTAGGTCATTACAATCACATTTTTTAAAGCTTTGAACTTACACAATCTCTGTTTTTTTGTTTTTGTTGTTGTTTTTGTTTTTTTTTAATTTTCCTTACGATAGCGTGCTCATCAATTTAAACCTTTCGATTTTGTACCTTGATTGCTACGATGATAATGGCCATCGCTAGAAACTTGACAGTTTTCTCAACTCGAACTCGGAAAAAAGTTGTTTCCCGTCCCTTAATCAAACTTAATTAATTAATTAATCGGCCATTCTTTGAGATCCCGAATTCTCGACAAGACAGAGGTGGCGTCCCCTCGGAGATTCAAGAAATCAGGAAGTTCCTCCATACCAGCTAACTGAATGGGTTTTATAAAGCAAAAAAAGAAAGAAAGAAAGTAAGGAAAGGAAAAGAATACAGTGTCATATACTTTAGGTGTTTTCCTGGTCAATGAAACCAATATTCAAGCTACATGTAGTTTGTCACTGCTGACAGGTACAGCTAAAACAAAGGGCTTCGATCTTGCTCACGTAAGGCAGCTTACGATGAACGGAGATATCGAGATACCGAAATATTGGAAGGCAACGTGAATATCGATGCCCGCGCTAAAATGAGATCGACTTCCGATTCAACATCATTCACGCCCACAGCCTGTTTGTGTGCTGAGATGTCTTTCTCACATAAGCGCAGAGGGACTATAAGAGAAGCTTTTCCTGCAACTCGACTTCGCTTATCTTGGGAGCAGCATCCCCCAACTAATCTTTGAAAGGAGCAATTGATTTCCATTTGGTACGCTCACCTCTTAAAAAAATCGGCGGCCAAACGAAAACACCATTTTAGTTTGCTTTGGAAAATTTATGGCTCGATATCTCTGTCTATCCTGCAAGCCGTCACAATTTACAAAATAGGATAACACATTTTTTTACGTCGTTAAAAATTAATGCAGTGAAATTTCCTCTATGCTGTAGTAACATATACCTAATTCATTTAGCAGTCTAGGGTGACGCATGAGTGGTATCGCGCTTAAAAAATGCAAACAACGGTAATTTTAAATTCTGGATTTAAAACTTTTTCCCGGAAATAAAAAATTAGGGGATAAGAAGGAAACAAAATAAGAGCGTATTGGTAACCGAGCCTCCTTTCGAGTGACATGTTATTGCGTGACACCATCGCAAAAAACGAACGTCAATGATTCATTTCATCTGTCAGGATGCTCTGGCTCGTTCTATAAAAGAAAAACTTCCATTCTTATTGTGAAAGGAAGACTTGTAAAATGTGAGTGTTCCAAGCTGAAATATGGTTATAACTGTCCAGCAATGCGACGTTTCCGGCAGGAACCTTCGTGAGATGTTTTCACTGTGATTTGGTATACACCGCCTGTAGTGCTGTACTATCGAAGCTGTTGTCAAGTCTCTTTATAACAAGATTGAGGCAAGGAACCAATCTTAGAAAGGTGTTTTTCGCCAGGTGAGCCTAAGAAGTCCAGTTTACAATCTAGTATAGGTCAAAGCGATAAGATTTTGTTGGAATTATGGCTTCGATAATAAAAAGCCTAATTGGATTATCTGCGGTTGTTTACATGGCGGCATTGCGATTTGCACGAAATAGACCGGGCTACTTCTTCGCAGTAATTAAGAGCCCCAAATTAATTTTTATATCCATGGAAAGAACATTCTTTCCACTTTGGAAAAATGCTCATCTCAAGTGATTCCGAGTTATACCAGGTAGGAAAAATTTTTATTGAAAAACTTCTCCAAAATGTAATTTTTAATCAATCAAATTTTGGCTATTTTCAAATATTCGCCAATAATTCATAGTTATGTCAACAAGCCCGTTATTAGATTCAAATCATTTTTTAATACCTCGTATACAAATAGGTAAAATTCAGAAAGACTTGCTTTCTTTTGCGCTTTTGAGGAATAAAGGTTTTGTTGCCCTACTCGTCGACTTCATTTCGGTCATTTTATGGCGGTTGGGGCTCGATACAGTGTTTGGTGATTTTCTAGAAAATAAAAACAGCTCTGAACAAAAAAATTATACCACGTTTATAGACTTACCCTAAGGTATCTCTGAGCGAAATATGAGGATAGTGATTTTTCCGATCATGTGCCACCTCCCACGCGGTGATAAAAAAAATTCGCTCTTAAATTATTCTGTAAAATAAGTAGTAGTTTAGTAGTAGGAGTAGTTTGAAACCCATGTTGTGACATATGCTAATTTAAAAAGAAACGTTGTTTCACGTAATCAAAATAAGGAATCTAACAAAGTTTTGTCTTCCGCTCTGTAATAGCCGTCAAAGCATCTGCGGGGCTTCCCCGCTTTAATTGAATTTCTAATTAACCGTAACCTCAACATGAACCGAGCCCAAATCCCTGCAAGAAAAACCGTGTTGGTTTTTGAATTGTTCGTCAGATTATTCGTAGCCCGTTCACCTCTGGTGGTACCTACATCAACCAGATGAAGAAACGCAATTTGGAAAGGCTAGAGAGGTGAGCTAAGGAGATCTCATTAACATCATTGACGATTTGCTTGTTTACTTTAACAAAACAGGCCCACACTTGTACTTTGTGTGATATAAGAATGTGTTCTAGATACCAGTAAGTTATTCCGTACAAAGGTCGAAATTGCTTGTCTTTGTTTGAAGGGAAAAGAAAACAAAAATTTAATGATTATTTTCTTTTTTATTGGCCGCAAGGTTTTTGAAACATTGCTCTTATATGACTATTATATATAAACCCCTACCCACAATTATTGATCAGAACCCTCTACAACCCAAGAACCCTCTACAACCCAAGAAGTAAGTAAAAAATTATCAGAGATTTGTTTAGGATCTAGAGGGAACAAAGTACTGCAAAAACTCATTGTTTTATGCATTCAAAGTGAAGTTATTTTGTCTGGATGTCTCTTTAATTTACGGAAATTTTTGCAATACATAAGTGTGAAATTTCGTTCTCCGCATTCATGTCAGTATTTGCATTCTCTATTTAAGGAAAGTTTTTTGGCAGCTTAAAATTTTCCGTTTGTTTTCAAGCATTTATTTTCGGCGGTGTGTGGCAAGTTTGGCTTCGGACCTAGTTGAGACTTAGTCAGTTTTCTCATTTCATCAATCTAGATTGTTTGCACATTTCGCGCTTGAAATAATTTTCTACGCCCACGTGGCAACGCACGTGGTAAGAGAAATTCACTGAAGATTATCTTGAATGTTGGCTATTGTTTAATTCATCCCAAGATTTTGTGTTGTTTTTTAAACACGTCAATCGAAAACCAAAAAAAGGGGAGAAATATTTCGCGGTTTTCTGCATGAATACACAAGTCTGGTAGGCGTTGCGTTGTTTACTGATTTACTGACAATTAGGTAAGGTACTTAAGGATCTCGTATGTTTCAGCCTCTGACATCACGTGAAGCTTTGAAAGTTTTGAAATTGAGACTTGAAGTCCTTCGCCATATTTGCCTTGCTTTCTATTCATAGCCTTCAGGTAAACGAATGCAGCGATTTCTTGAGAGAGCTGAAAAATTTGCAGAAGGGCTTTCAAACCTCAGAAGCGAGCATGATTACACACGTACGGGTGGAAAATCAAGTAAATTTTTGCTTTAATTTTGTCTCCCCATTATTACTCATACGCAAATAGCGTTTTGTTTGGAAATTGTTGAATAAATGTTATAGCTTCAATAGAGCTTGGTACCGGAAACAGACGATTTATAAATATTTCTGTCTTCCATTCCATTGCCTTCTTACTAAGAAAATTGCCAAATAACAGCAACTTGATTGCGACAGACAAGTATTTAACCCGCATCAAGTTAAGATATCTTGCAGTTATAATCTAATATGTTGTGCGTAATAGAAATAATTAAATCCCAGATCCAACCCTAGAGACATCGGAATAAATGCTCACAAAGCAGACTTTTCTTGTGAGCAAATTTACGACGATTTGACATACTACGCTCACGCTTTCAAACTTTAGTCCTTTCATCAACGCATGAAAATCGTTTGACTGCAAATTGTGGAACTTGATTCGTGACTGCGCTGAATGTGGCCGAAAACTATATCCAGTCACTTTTAATTTTTCCAACTCTGCTTTCTCTTTGTACAGGATTGGTTTCCTTAAATTGCAAATACATGTATCATGGAAAACGAAGCTAACGGTTTGACAGACTCCTTCGTGGCCAGACTCACTCACAAATCCTACCTTACGCTTGGAACCGCTTTCTCGTAATCAAAATGGCTCACGCCATGACCAAGGCCCAGGGATGAGGGCAGAGGTAAGAAATAATGAATACAGCATAGCTTTTGGATGAGGAGTGGGACACTGATATTGCTTTTCTGGGACTACGTAGCGGGTTTGCTGGGGCAGGAAGGGCGTTCTAAAGTCATTCTCAATCACCAAAACTGAAGCTGAGATCGCAGCTTTTATCGACTACGACATAAAAACTGGAAAAAACTATGACATCGAATGATCCAGAAAATTTGATCGCACAAGCTTAATGAAAAATTTATTTCCTTTATGACAAAAAGATACCATAGAGAATTGCAAAATGAACTCACAAAAAATTTTTTTTCGCTGTTGCAACTGCCCCCTTGAGGTGCTTTGCGATATCTTTACAGAAAAAATATTACCAATATTCATTTACTTAACACAGAAACAGCTCATAGGTTTATGAGGCATCAAAACGAGCATTCCAAGCGGGCAAAATGGGTCTACATCACCCGCTCGAAGAATATGCATTTTTGAAAATAATCTTACCTTGTTTCATTTCTCCAGATTTTCAGGTCAAACAACACTGCTATCGACTCGTCTGCAGCCAAATTCTCTTCGGCCGAAGTCTTCCCAACGAACTCTCAAGCTTCGATCTCCTTTAAATTGTCTTCACTGAACATAAGACCTTGGAATGTTGAATCTTTAGAGTCCACGAACAACAGTCATCTTGCGTTGATGCAAGGAGTAGCCAGAGCAACGGTCCAAATGAACAGGAGAATGCGGGAAAGAGAACAGCGTGAATTGGAGCGGGAACAACTTCAAATAAACAAGGACAGAAGGGAAAGAGAGATTAGAATGAAAAGAAATAGAGAAATGATAGAAAGAGAGAGAAGGGAAATGAGAAGATCTAGGAGAGAATGGCAAGAGGCAGGAGAACAATGTAATAAGAGAAGATATTTTCTAGGTACATGAAACCTTATTTCATATAACATTCCTGTTGATTTAGAAATTTTTGTACAAATGTAGTAAATATGCATTTTCCACGCAAGATGCTGGTCTATGTAAACACCTAAAAATTTGATGTGTTAAACTTCCTCAATAATTGCGTTGTCAACTTTAAGAGGGCTTCTCACTAGCAACTTTTTTTGTTTAGGTCTAAAAATCGTGATCTTTGTTTTTTTCACATTAATGAACAACTTGTTAGCTTTCAGCCAAGTCGCAAAATGACGAATTTTATCATTGAGGTAATCCATAAGAATTTTAAGATTTCGGTTTCTGGTAAAAAATGCTGGTATCGTCGGCTAAAAGTAAACATTCAGCATCTCTTATGAAAAACCAATTGTTAGACAAGATCATATTTTCAGTAAGGTACCTTGAGATACGATTATATACAATTTTTTTCAAAATTTTTCGAAAAAGCAGGAAGTATTGAAATTACTCTGTAATTTTCAATCAAGGATGGGTCGTCCGCCTTTAATACAGGGACCACTTTAGCAACTTTAAGTATAAGTAGGGGCTTTTCCAGACTACATGATCAATTCCATTTTCAAATTTGCATATTTGCACGACAGCTGTTAATGCCGCCCATCTGAATTCGTTCACTTCGGCAAAGTTTCGATGTGAACGCTATACGTCCTCCCACTTCAACGATTCAGGAGGGCAAAAGATTTAGACACATGAAACATTTTTCAAGCTAACGTAGGTGAGTTTGTCCGGGGTTTGTCGAAGTTATTATGTTTGATTACATTTCGCTTTAATTCAACGAAGTCGAACAGACCTCTACGTGTTCTGAAAATCGTAATTCTGTTCGCATCTGGTAGAATTGTTTAGTCACATGATTGTTGTAAGGGAAAGACCCGCTCGAAGATTGACTTTCTGATGTGTGTTGCGAATATTTTCCTTCAGATCCCTGCACTTTATGTTTTCTCTCGTGATGGTTTTTTTTTTTTTTTAACTGAAGACTCCCTTTGTCTGTCTTCAATTCACGCGCTATCTTTGTTGTGCGCCTAACAAAAATAGCGCGTGACGAAGGGATATTTCAGTTCATAAAACATACATGAGGGTTTCTCACAGAAAACTTGCTTGTAAACATTGCAACTTTCAAAGTTCGATGTTTCTCTCGTCGTGTTCAGAAAAGCGCTGTATAAGTGCGTGGGAGGAATTTTCAAGAAAAGCATTAGAAACTGCTGCTCTTGAATAACATTCTATCACGTAATAACTGTCTGATTTTCAGTCTAGAGGACAAAAATAAATTTCTTCTATTCCTTTTGAAATAAATCTTTGTTTCGTAGGCTACGAATGTTCGCAAATTTTATTTTTTTTCAACAAGGCAGACATGCAATTAAGACAGAGCGTATTATCTATTTAAGGTTGCGGCTGAACAGTAGGGCACGCTCTAAAATGAACCAACAAATGCCCGGCGGACAAAAATTTGTACATAATTGAATATTTAAAAATAGTTTTCACTTTATTTTTCGAAAGTAATGGAGGTTTGGTCATTGGAGAAACTTTGATCAAGGCAAAGCATTTGCCACACTTTTCAAGCTAGAGGCTGCAGCGAAACTGAAAAAGCATATCAAAGAATAATTTCATGAACATAAGGCGCGTTCAGCAGACAATGAATCTATGAGGTTTCAAGTGAAAATTTGCATGAAAATTGGTGGCGGGTGTGCAGCCGACTCCTGAACTTCCAAAAGTTTCCTGCAAACATCAGCAATCTCGACCTTAAAGTGTGAACGAACGAGCGTATTTCTGCACCAAATGGAGGCTATTTTAATTTGTTTGTTCTCCCTTACATATTTTTGCAAATAGTGGGTAAAAAGTGTTAACGAACAGCTAAGCATTCACTGAGTGGGATATGTTCATTTTTCAGTGTTCTTTCGTACTATTTCATGAACAAATAAACATGTCCTCTCTTTTTAAAATACCACAAAACGCTCTCTCACTTTAAATTGATTTTAAACGAAGACTTATTGAAAGGGTACCTAGACCTTGAAAGTAAGAGAATATCACTTGCGGTAAATCCTCGATTATGATCCATGAAATATTTTTGCTCGCGTGAGACTGGTCTTAAGGCATCACCTTAACAAATATTCCCCAGCTAAGACTGGGAAATATCCAAGGGTATCACCCAAATTAAACTGCTCAATTTTTAAATCTTACGTTCACTAAGATAATGCAAATGTTACATAAAATGAGAAATATTTTTTTGTTCATAGAGCAGTACCAGAGAACACCCATGAGAATACATCCCACGCAGAAAACAGCGAGCTGTTCGTAAACAATTTTTTGACGCGCTGCAAAATATTTGACTGGTTAAGAAACACAATAGCCTCTATTCTGCGCGAAAATGTGCTCGTATATTTGTCTTTGAACATTATCTGTTCCTCAAAGCTCATTTCTTTCCTTGTCATCAATTTATTTCGTTCTTTTATTTTTGAACGTTTTTGATGGAGAACGTTGATATCTATGAAAAATATCTATAAATCTAAAACAACAAATTGAAAAAAAATTAATTTCTCTTTTTCTCTTTACCGTTTTATTTTCCCATTCCCCATTCCCCATTCCTGCTGTTAGTGACTTTCTGATTGTTTCGCAAAACAATAAAAAAAATTGCTTGGTGCACCAGCGCCCTACTTTTACTAGTTGTGCAGTATTCTGACGAGTCCGAAGGGAGAGTGTCTAAACAGACAACGATTAAAAATATTCAGCGATGCTACACACTAAAACGACTGATAAGTTATGTACTGATCCAACCATAGGCAGCCCAAGCTCCAGCTTTGAGATGATCATCTTGTGAAATAAGAGTCATGGCGAAGTTATAAGAGTTTGTATTGGAATATAGGAATAAAAAATTCCATTCAAATTCTCAATGAAAATACCTCACCTTACTTTCACAGTGCATTGCTTGTTATCTGACCGCTTACTATGCTGAAAGGGACCCATTTTAGCGAGTTATCTGATTCTAGGTTTACTACTAATGTGCTTGTCTCCATTCCTTAATTCTGCAATGTTTAATGTATGATATATACATACATTTATGAATCATTTTTTCCAACGGATTGTGCCAGCGTTACAGAATTTCTATGATATAAGTGATTCCTTAATTTGACATCTATACATCTGTTGTTTTTAGATAGTGATACCACAAACACTAGCGTCGGTGATCCCATTCTCAAATTGAAATTGGGTCAATAAACATGAGTTTATGACTAAAAATTGCCTAAATTAACTTCAGAAGTCACTAGTTCTATGCACTACCATAGGCTCAAGTCAAACCGCCTTGGATATAGCTAGCTCAAGGAAAGAGATACTGTGCCTATTTTTATAATCAGTTCAGCTCGTGAAATAGTGCCAGGCTTTCAAGAACCTCTCACTCATTTTTAAAGGCTCATCGGTAGTTCAAAATTCCATATCATGGCGCTAAAGACTCAGACTGGCATACCCCTATAGGGTAAAATCGGACCCAGTCGTTGTTTTCTCGTGGCGCACGTGGAGAGTGTAGGGTATAATGGGAGATATAAGTCAAATATGTTACAGTCAGATTTGTTTGATTTATCATCACTCTCGCAACTCTCCGTGCCCTCCGCTTTCCTTGCGTCCATAGTATTTACATCAGAATGCGAAACCACTTCCTCCATATTTCTGAGAATTAAACAGGAACCGCATCAATTATGGATGGCGTCCAACAACAATGTCTTCGGCGACGGCTTGCTTTATGTCTTAAACGATTGTTTATGCATACATAACACACTTCCTTTAGTCAACTAAATATAAGCTTTCCCAAAATCGATTCATGGATCATAAAAGGAAGTAAAATTGTAATAGCTACCTTAATCCTGACGATGCGAGCTACTATACATTACGAAACTTCCTTTAAATTTCTGGGAAGTGCAGTGGCTTCCAAGAAAATGCTAGTGTATTGTGTATTGTGTATTAATGATTATAAAGAAGCCCCCATGCACTGAATTTGAGCGTGCAAATCGTGAAGATTAAAGTATCTATCACAAAATTATTTCCTAAATGATTCAGGAATTCATTTTGGAAAATCTTACTTAACTGAAATCACTGTCTTAGTCATGTTAGTCTGTTACCGATGCATACATAGAGGAGTGGTCGTTTAAATTTCAGAACTTTCCGAACGGTTCGGCCAGAAAGTTTGTTTCAACGAGCTTGTCATCCAATTTTCTCTCAGAATTGTTCGTTAATGGGAGACAGTTGTTTAAAAGGATTAGAGCTTTTCTTAGATCAGAGAGTCGTGAAAAATGTATGACGATTATTTTCAGACGGATCTCTGAAACAAATTTGTATGAATGATGTATCATTTGTGCCACTCATTTAAGATCCACCTATTTTTGGGCTGCTTCACTCGATGGAGTAGCAGATGTTGCCATAATCCATCTTTTTTAATCTCTACGAATTTGAGAAGGATCCAGAGAGAAGTGCATTTCCTGCCCTCGAGTGCTCAGCTTCACAAAGGCGAGTTCTATAGCAGCATTGATTTACGTTAGCGGAAAAAAAAAGCTCAAACCAAAGAGAATTTTGGGGTTATCGTAATTCAAGAAACAGCCAATTTCTTTTTCTTCGCTGTGTCAATTTATTTTTAAAAATTCTTTCGACATAACTCTTTCGTTTTCTCTGTTCTTCATCACCCTTGAACGTATTATTAACAGACTTATATCGAACATGAACCCAAACATGAGTTATTTTAAGCTTAATTATTCCAATTTAAGACTTGAGTTACTATTTCAAAATTGTCTACGGTATTTCACTTCTTGCCAGCAGAGGTAACAAAA